GCGGCTTGTCCGTCTCTTTTAGTTGAGCTACTTTAATAAAACTATTTAATTTAACCCCTTTGCCTCCTTGACTCCTTTTCCTGCCCCGGACACTTTTTGTTACTTCCCCCTCACCGCCTAGACCCCTGAGGGGAACGTAACAACAGCAAACAGGCTTTAACTGTGAGATTTACAGAATCCAGACGGTTCTTTAAACTCTGGCGACCTTTACAGTGAACAATGGTTTGTTTTTGTTTGTTTGTTTGTTTTTTCACCACAGTCCTCTCAAATTCAAACTCTAAGCTTAATTCCTTGAGTCAGTAAAGTCAGTCAGTAAAAGTCAGTAAAAATCCATAAATAAAAAAGGGTTAAATAAAATTCAGCTACTAAATAAAGTTGAAGCAAATCTTATTACAAATCTGTAATAAATTATTTGTAGACATTTTGTTGTTTGCAGCAACATCCTGATGTTTGCTGCTGTAATTGTTCTCTGTGAGTACTGTAAAAATAAACTTCTATAATTAATGTGAATTATTTTTGTGTTGTTGATACTTGTGAGGTTATGTCAGTGACAGGACTGCACTGTCTGCACCGATGTCCTCTGTGTGTGTTTCAGACAGGAGAGACGTCAGTTATGGATGACATCATCATCTAACACAAGATAACAGTCGAAGACTACAGAGGTACAGCTGTTGATCTTTTAATACAAAGATGAAAAATCTGTTAATCAGAATTGAACTTTTCCTTTATTGTGAACAGGAAGTGAGAAAGGAAAATAAGTTAAAACAAACAAACTCAAGTTCAAAGTGTGAGAGTAGAAAAAAAGTGCGCACACATCCTCATTCTAGTAAAATGTGAGCTTATCCACAGTTGGGTCAGTGGGGCAGATAAACACAGACCAGACCTCCCTCTCCCAGGCCGCCTCCTCCAGCCTTTCCAAGGGAACAGGCGTTTCCAGCCAGCTGAGACATATAATCTCTTCAGTGTTTCCTGGTTCTGCTCCGGGGACTCCTCCTCTTTCTCCATCAGGGTTCAGAGTGAGTGCAGCAGTATTTAGATTTCACTCTGAGCCAAGTTGTGGTTAAAACGTATCAGAAACATCTGCAGATGCTGTGTGATCTGATACTTGTCATGTACTGTTCATGCAGCAGCAGAAAATGTGTCCAAAGTTCAACATTTAAACAGAAAGTTATGTTATAACTCTGATCCGTTCACTGACATGTCCTTATTCTTTCACTTTCCTGTATATAAAGAGAACAGAGAGGCTCTGCTCAGCCCAGCAGTCGTCCACCAGTCCAACAACTGGAATCCAGCTGCTGCTCTCTAACTGGTTCTCACATTCACTGTAAACACACTGGTTTAGATTCTGTTTGTTCTCCTCACAAAGGAGATGAAAATGAAATGAAACCTCATACAACCACTGAGGGCCAGAAAGTTCAAATGGAAAGATATTTTTCTTTCTTTAATAAAGAAGCAGAAGAAGAAGATGGTGCCATAAAAATTTTATTTATCTTTCATACTTAAAAGAAAATTCTTCACCAGGCCTTTCAGAATAAAAACGTGAACAATGGTAAACGATGGTGTGTTTTTGTTTTTGTTTTTGTTTTTCACAACAATCCTCTCAAATTCAAACTCTAAGCTCAATTCCTTGATTCAGGCCAAGCAGAAGCCATGTTTGTCTTTGGCTTTTCTGCTAGTGTAGAGAAATTAAGCTAGTGTTTGACAGAAAGATTCAGGAAATCATTGTTAAAAACCCATGAATAAAAAAGGTTAAACAAAATTCAGCTACTAGATAAAGTTGAAGCAAATCTTATTACAAATCTGTAATAAATTATTTGTAGACATTTTGTTGTTTGCAGCAACATGTTTGCTCTGTGAGTACTGTAAAAATAAACTTCTATAATTACGTTGATTCTGTTCATCTGGACGTAGCGTTTTCAGTGGGAGAAACGTTTCGTCACTCATCCGAGTGACTTCTTCAGTCTCAGCTGACTGCAGGTTTCCCCAAATCTTATAAACAGTACATTTGCATAATGACTGAAACTAGAATCACTGAAGGAACAATGGGCTGGGAGGTCAGTTCCTTCATCATAATTATGCAAATTCTCATGACCATTGATCAGTCATTGTGCGTGTGTGTCAAATCACTACTGATTGGCATGCAGACATGATGAAGTGGATCCAGTGAAGTTGAGAACCTTTTTATATTCCCGACATTCTGCTCTGAAAAGGAAGAAGATGACTCACATAAACCAGAATCTGTTGAAAATTTAACTTTTTAGAGAATTCAATCAGAAACAGGATCATATGGATAAGTTCAAAGTTACAACACAGATCACAGAGGAGTTTTGTGGAAGCATGATCCTGTTGCTTCTGCAGAAGGGAGAAGTAACAGAGTGCTGGTGGT